TTTCCCCCCCCCCCCCCCCTCGTAACGTTACTAACGTAGCTATTGCAATCTTTTCGAGTGAAAGGCTCGTTCCCCAGGAAGTAAAAGGGGCTTCGAGCCGGTCATTTTCGGCCGCGCCGGTCATTTTCGGACGCACCGGTTTTGTCGCAGTTAACCAATTGCTTCCCGGCGATATACGTTACGTTGCGTTATGTTCGTTACGTTGAACTCGCTCGAACGCTCTGACGCATGCAGCAGCCTCGCCGTTGGGCCGAATTCGAATGATTGACGGGTTAGTGACGTTAAAGTGACGTTATGGTTTTAGACGGATTATTGTGCAGGCGTACGATCGCGGACGGTCGCGACCGCCGCGATCGTTTTGCTCGAGCGAGAAAAGGTGAGGAGGGCGACCTCGCAACCCAGGAGGGTTGCCATCGGGCGACCCGACCGTGAGGCGACCGACGGACCCGAGAAACGTCCAGTTGATGACGTCATGCGCGAACCGTCGAGCGCCAAATATGGGAATGTTTCTTGTTCAACTCGGTTTCAAATTTCATTACAGAAGGATCTCTTCAAAATACTTATATAAAATTACTTTATAGAAATTACTTGATTCAAATTACTATCACGCGTCTTCATGAAAATACACGGAGCATCGAACTTTACAAGTTTACGAGGCAGTTTACAATTGGCTAATTTTTTATTTTAAATAAGGGTCCATCGAACCTAGAATGATAAGGTACAGGGTAAAAACATATACAAATATGTCCTTATGTTTTGGTCCCTTTTGGTCCACATTTGGTCCCTTCCAGCCGAGTTTGGCTCTCGTGTTCCGCAAGGAACACGCGATCGATCGCGAGAATCTGGACGTATTTGGGTCGAATGAAATCGAAGCCGCGAAGAGAGGGCGATTGCTTGCGTATCGAGTTGGAGGGCGATTGCTTGCGTATCGAGTTGAAGGAGGGCGATTGCCTCGCGTATCGCGTTTCGCGAACGAGATGACTCGCTCGAAACCGGATTTGGGGTACGATTTGTAAATGACTTATGGTCGGCTGCCATCGGTGGAGCGAAATGGGGCTGGGGGAGAGGGGGGGGGGGGGGGGGGGGGGGGGGGAATGAGAAACCGATTGCGGAACACGAGAGCCAAACTCGGCTGGAAGGGAGGGGCGGAATGAGAAACCGAGAGCAATCACTTCCGTGAAGAATCGCTTCTGGGGGCTATCACTTTCTAGCTCATCGATCTGAATGAAGGACATGTCGAAATCAAAATGTATCTCGTCCTTTATTTTCACCTTCTCGACCTTGCTGCTCCCTTTCACCTTTGTGCTGACGAGTACCGGTACCTGTACCAGTTCCGCGAGGGACTGGTACCGCCTCGGCGAGGCTCAAAGCGATGTTTCGAGGGCGATTGCCCACATGGCCTGGTATCGCAGGCGACTGTGGTCTGTCGCTTCGACGCGGTCGTTAGGGGGATTTGCATGGAGATTACGCTAAGAGAATGAACTCCCTTTCGTGCCGCATCGAATGGATTCTAATTAATCACGGCACGATGCAGTACCTATTTCGGTCGGTCTCCTCTCTTTGCAGACTTTCGTTGGGGCGAGGGACTCTTTCGCTCTCGATCGGTTTTATGCATTTCTCCGGGAAAGTTTTAACCCCTTTACTCTGGGGAGCTTGGAAGCGTGCATTTGAAACAGGTCAACATGCAGGTTAACTAAAGGTTCAACGGGGTAGAATTGCGGGTGTTCGCATCAGAGCAAACTCTGCACAGGGTTCGAACGCGAACACAAATGTCGTGTGGTCGTTCTAAACTCGGTGAGACAAAGGGCATCGACATCAACATGAAATCATAATCACTCAATGCATGGCGATGATAATAGTTTAGATCAGATTACTTTCAACATTTCTCACCGGTATGCATCGGACAAAAACGAGCGGTTCGTCCATTTGAATTTTTATTGCTCTTGTAACTCTTCAATAAATACAAACAACAGGAAACAAAGTTTACCCTTCGCTTTAAACTCTTTCCTTATCTGCAGAATAATAATAATAAAAATCTTCTCTGCACTCTTTACAGTATACAGCATGCTCGCCCGAGATCCCGACGTCTCGCCGACGGACCGACCGCGCCGCCGCGTCCGCGTCCAAAAAAATTGGAACTCGTTCGTGATGAAATCCACACTCGAAGAAGCGCTGCTGAAGCTAAGGGCATGCATCCCTATGAGAATAACGAGTCATCCGAAGACATTCGAATATATGTGAGAGGCAGAGGAACGAGGGTGACTAACAGCGAAAAGGGGACGAATTCAAAACCGCTTCGATCGGGACAGCATCTTTCCACGGAATGTTAACGAGAGAGTTCATCGGATTCCTATTCCTTTTGGCAGAAACCGAACAGGCCGATGTAGCGAGAGAGAGAGAGCGAGAGCAAAATCGTGGTCACACACACTCAGCACCATAAAATGCCCTCAACAGGTGAAAGAAAAAGAGTTCAGAGAGCACGAAATACGGATCGAGTCCATTGGCAAACGTAAACAGGAACCAGGAGAACAAATGCGAACGTCACGAGGGATGGCTTGCATTTGGTCCCGTGCTTTTCTACCTTCGAGGACGACCGAGGACGACCCGAGGACGACCGAGGACGACCGAGGAGTTCTCGTAAAGCAACGCGTTGGAAGATGCCGAAAGGCTGGGGTCGAGGAGGCACATAAACGATGGGAGGTTGTGCAAAAATTTTTGAGTGGCTCCTCAAACACTCGATGGGACAAAATTTGACATTCACGATAGAAAGGGAGAAGACTAAAAAAAAAAAAAAATTGAAAGGCAAAAAAATCCAAGGGACAACTTTCGATCATCTACTTCTTCACCACTCTTGAGCAAAGCTGATTTCTCACAAACTTGAATGAGACCCATGACTTTCAGATGCATGCCTCTCATTGTGGGATTCGCGAAAATGATATAACCAGAATCGACGAGGAAATACTGCAACAGGAAAAGAAAAGACCTAACAATCCTGAAATTATCTTCCTACAGGCTACACTGCAAAAATTTTTCTCTGCCTCAACAGCAGGCCTAAGCTACGATATAAAATATTGCAGGATGGTTGTTTAACAGATAAAGCATGTCAACATACGTAATGACTAATGGCCAGCCATCCAGATATTGTCATCCAAGGCACCTGATCTGCATCAACATGGGATTTCAAAACCCACTCTACGATGGTACAAAGTGAACAGCGTTTTCAGTCAGTTTCACACCTGCTGAATATACAAGTAGCACAGGCTGCATTACCGGCAGAAAGTTGAACACCCATTTTGAAATCACCAGTACATTTTGTGAAACGCTTCACACTCCCCTCCCACCGTCCAGGGCTGCTCGAGGCATTGCCAAAACACGGCAACACCAGAAACACCGAGCTCCTCTTTCTCGCATCATGTGAGAAGTTGAAAGATCCTGGCCTTGGCAGGATTGCTGAATGTTTTGCGCAATGAACAAAAGAAATCCCAATAAATTTTCATAGCATGGGACAAACAGAAATTGGATTAGAATAGGATCCTACTTGAATTTCATTCTCGATAAGATTTGAATTTGTGCATGGCTCACATTGTGCATTGAACTTTTGATTACTTGGATTAACACTTCCCTCGGCTTTCATGGAAATAATTTCTGACAATTAAAATCTTTTAAATCTTTCAGGCTCGTTTTTGGCACCAAACCAAAGTTTCTGCCCATAAATATCACTCAAATATCTATTACCAATCCTCCTTTGTCAGAAGACTGGCAAGGAATACATTTTGGTAAAGAATATCAAGGGATCTTCTGATGATCAAGGACCCAAAATTGCATTCCCAGGATTCAGATATTATTTTAGCATCTTGCATTTAATTTCCTAAGAATCCCCAGTAATGGGGGATGACTCAGAAATACATCAACATTTAAATCACTCATTATTCAAGACTTGGGATCTAAGCTGGGCATAACCAATCATTAGGGAGTATTTCTGATCAAATTTCTCTTACTTAACTAATTGTATAATAAAGGAAAGTTTTCATTCAGTCTTTGTTCATTACATTTGGAAACTTGGAATATCAGAAGTTATATCCAAAGAGCATACATAGATTCTCAAATAGCAATTACCAAAAGTTTGTCTCCTTAGCCATGCTGGAATATTTGGACAGACTTTGAAAGGGAAAATTCCAAAAAAATTAAGGAATACTTCACGTACTTCAAGTTATACGGTTCCAAGAGTAAAAAAACTGCTACAGTTAAAGTAAATGTTTCTTCGGGTGAATGTAGAGAAAGAGTCAACAATGCAAAACCAATTTCAGAACTGATGCATTACCTTACTAATGATTCAGAACCAAAAACCAGCTGGAAGAGATTAGTCACTGCATAGTTGATGACAAAGAAATAGAGAAGTGTGATAAAGTCAGAAATCAGAAGTAGAGCATGGGAAATAGAAATTGTTGCATTTCATTAACAACTTAGACTAATGAAAGTTCATGGAGCGAAGAGAACGAGTAGTTGTTGTCATGGAGTCTGTTACTTGTACAAGGACTTGACTACAGAGGATGGTGTTGCCTGGATGTTGCATCATTCTGAGCTGCCTTGAAAGGTAGTATGCTAGGAGGCTGCATGAAACTGTCAGCAACAGGTACAAACCATTTTGAAATGAGGTTCCAAAAATTTTACCACTTGTGCCTAGCAATATACAACAGGTATGAAACTTGCTGAACAAAACTGAAACCAAGTGCTTCAAGGCTTTTTGCTTTCCCCATCCAATCAATTTTTCAACTCTGCGAGTGTAAAGAGAGCACGGCAGGTGAAGAGTATAAGAGCAACCACCACCGGTAACTTGACTGAGACTGACCCGACGCACACAAACCTGATCTGCAGGTGAATGGATAAAATTAAATATTTGTGCCAAAGTATGTTGGGCAAGAAGTGCTAAAACATGAGGATTGTAAATTTCTGCTTTTGTTTCAGTCTTTCCACACCTGGGGAGAAGTCATATGATGCAAAGATCATGAGAACAGGGCTCTACTGCCATTGAGACTTTGAGCTGGCCACGAGAACAAACAATACTGATATCACGTGGGACCCCCGAGCACTCTTCCCCCCTCTTCGCTCGCACGACGCCCGCGACACGTCACCGTTCCGAGCACTATCACATTTTTCTATTTCTTCTTGGGAATCCCTGCCCAAATGCAGGAGGCGAGGCAGACACAGAAGCGATGTTCTTTTTTGCGTTTCTCTTTCCTCCCACTTCGGCCAGGGATCACGACTTGTGATTGGAGGTGAGCCACGTGAGTCCTTCGTAGAGGCCGTCTCCGGTCGTCGCACACGCCGGCTGGACGTACCAGTTCCTGTCTCTAAGACGTGTCAGTCCCAGCTTTTCCTGGATTTCGTGTGGCTTCATGGCTGCAGGGGATTCACAAGGACATGACATGAGAAAGAGAAATACATTTACAACTCTATTCCTTTTCATGAATCATTCATCCAAAGGACCCAAAACAGATAAAGCAGATACATGTCAAATGTAGTCAAGCTACGAGAATTTTTAGAAATGCAAGGGTATGACTCAGGGGCACATGTAGGCAGGAATGTGACTGAATGGCAGATGGAAGAAGTGATGTTGAGGGAATATATGCATGAAGGGAAGTACAGGGAATCTCAAAAATTAATGTTGTAATGGTGAATTTTTCTTGTATTTTGTGTCAGTTATAAAGAGAAGGTAGTAAGCTTTCCTCTGCTGAAAACTACAAGAAAATCTATTATAGTCTACCCGGTCCAACTTTACCACTCTGGCATTGCCTGTTTTATGGTAGCTCATTAATTTTGTGCTGGCATCACCCTGTCAAAATGTCTGAAAGGGGCTTGAGGCTATCAGTGGCAGACCTAGGTGTTCCTGGCACTCATCAGGCATCTTATCAAGATTTCTAAAACCATACACATGTGGTGCCCCCCTCCCCTCAGGAGCATTGTGCCAGTGTCTGGCAGAGGGGTCAACGGGAAATCACCCTCTCCCCTCAGGGGAGAGGAAGATGGATGGCATTTAACAACTCCTTTGAGGATTAAAAGTGTGGCAAAGTTGGACCAGATAAACTATACTTCTGAAACGAGGTATGGAACAATGAAAATTACACTAAGAGAAATTTATAACCCATCACATCACAGGACATGTTCAAGGGATGCTAAGTGAGACTGAGAGATGGATCACCAAGTAGATTCTTTCATTCAATTAATTCTGCAGCAATTTTGCTGGCAAATGCCCAAGAACCAGCAATAGAGTGAAAAGTCTTCTGGCAGTACACTTGTGGATCACTAGCTTCAAGTGCCTGCACTGCCCACTTCTCTTACATAGGCTGCTTGCAGCGGTTCATCAGAATGTCTGAATCTAGATAATGTAAAGTTTGTCTGCATATTTCACCTCATAATTAACTGATCTTTGTGCAATTTACAGCAACTGAAAGGTTAATCTCTTCTCATTTTAACTGCCCCAAAACGTTTCATTTGAATTTAATACCATACAAGAAAAATCAAATCATGTAGCATTAACTTTTTCTGAGATACCCTATATGATTGAGGGACAGATGTTAGACAAATTGAACTGAACCACATAGGTTCTATGGTTCATTATCAAGCCTACACAAACCTAAACTAATATTGAATCCTGTGGTTGAACCAGATCCAAATTTGAACACCACCATGAGCAAACTCAATTGAAACTGAACCATCAAACCAACTTAAAGTTCTAAGTTTCTATATTTCCTCCTTTTTCCCAACTAAAAGAGAATCATATCTGAGCAATTTCTTCTCTTCTGTCTCCTGATAGTGGAACTTGAGTAGCACCTACTTGACTCCTGTTAAAATAATGCATTGAACCATCACAAACTGAGGTTCCAAGGTTCCAAGACACATTGCATAACATGAATTTCACCAGATATAGGTCACAGAACCAGAATAAACCAGAGCTTGAAGAATTGGAATGCGAGTGAAGGGTTTACATAAACTACTTTTCATGTTCAGAGATTTGCAGTTTAGTTATAGCATTTGCTTCCCATTAGATGAAGATGCCCAGCCTCAGAAGGTGTTTGGGATTGGGAGAATGAGTGACAGAATTCATATCGCTGCTTTCATGAAAAAAAAAGGTGAAAGATGTCAATTAGCACCTACCATGAGGCTATTACAGCAGAAAACTTGGCACCCATCCAGAACAGTAACTCCATTAAAAAATAGCTAGGAGGGCTTCAGAATATGCAAAGTACAGTTTTACACAAAAGAATTACAACTTGTCTAGCAAGGCAGTTTTGCTGACTTCAGGCAGGCGAGTCACATCGGCCATTTCCTACTTGGCAAAGTCCTGTTTGGCTTCACAGAGATTTCAATGGTGTGAAGGTCTCCAACATGCCCATAATATCTTTATGATTAACAGATCTATTTACACCTTTTATCTCCTATTCTAGTTCTTCCCTACAGATAGCCTTCTTTGTTCCCATGTTCAAGTTTTTTCAGGCAAGTGATAATCTCAAAACTCCACCGAAAGGCACAGGGATTCATCCAAGACAAGGCATAACATGCCGAGAATCTCCTCCACGCTGCGGAATGCTGCAGGAAGCCGAGCACAGACCAACATCCCCAAATCGGCATTACATCATCCCTTACATCATTCAAAAGCGTATTTTCGTCGCAGATAAGCCCGACACCGAGGCGGCCGATTCCAATGCGACTCTCGATGAAACGCGCGCTACTTCTGAGCCATCCTTCATCTACTTACAATAGAGGCTTCAAGAGTGAAATATATAGGTATTGTGGACCACCCTGTGAAGACATTTCACACCATTGTTCCATCACAACAGAATTCCTTGCAACATAGCATGACGCAGATGCATGCATCAGAGCAGAGGCAAAAGGTACATGTGAGCCGCTACTCTGCAAGACAATACTCCAATGAATCCCTCCCTCTAAACAAGTATTCGACTCCCTTCATGAAATATTAATTTGTACTGGTGTTCATGAATGCTTCTTCGCGGATAAAAAAAAAAAATTATGCATCACGACTTCGATCTCCCCTCGCTATCCTTCTCTGCAAGCCCATCTATAACACAAAACGACCGTCGAAACGAGAACTGCACAAAGACCAACATCGAATTCAAAACACGGGAACGGCAACGAAACCGTCCAACCTAAAAAAAAAAAAGTCAAATCGCTCCCACCCCTCGACGAAAAATCCACAACACAAACCGACCATCGGGGAGGTCCTGCTTGTTGGCAAAGACGAGGATGATGGCGTCTCTCATCTCCCGATCGTTGATGATTCGATGGAGCTCCTGCCTCGCCTCGTCGATCCTATCACGGTCGGCGCAGTCGACGACAAAGATGAGACCCTGAGTGCCCGTGTAGTAATGCCTCCACAGTGGACGGATCTTGTCCTGGCCCCCCACGTCCTGCAAAGTCACAACGTCTCATCGTGCTTCCGTGCTAATGGAAAATTATTGCCTCGCTGCTCGGACCCCTACCGGGAGACTGATGAGTCCCGTCCCTCGTCTAAGAATGCAATTGTTTTTATTCTTCAAAGAAGGAAAGGACCAGCAACATTCTCGATCCCATCGATGCATAATGTATTTCATTGCTATTACGCTAATAATAATTATTATTACTAGGTCTACCAATGATATCATTGTGAAAGATGCTGATAATAATCGACTGCTCTACTTCCGTATCACAAGAAAGATTATTGAAGGAAAAAGTTATAAGTGCCGAATGGCAGTAAAATTGACCAAAAAAAAGAACGAAAATGCGAGGCTGCTAATGTTGCAGATGCAACTCATACCGTTTCCTTCAACTACCTTAAGGTACGTTTCCGGTTACGTAGCGACTGAACAGAAAGGAGAGGATTTTTACGGAATGGCATATTTTTCATACAACCTTGCAGGAGCTTGTATAACTCAGTGTGGCAGCGATAGATACCATTTAAAAAAAAGGGCGGGAAATTTATATTTGGGGTTTCGTGCAATTTTGAATAGATGAAAGTTCCAACCAGTGTCATTCACTTCTTCATTGATTTACCCATGGCGTGATCATCTCCAAGATTCTCCGATCCAATTCGAGGCAGAAAAAATGCGTTTGAAGAAGTTATGGTGTCACGTGCACGATTTCCATTCCTCACGAGGAAAAAAAAAAAACCAAAGGATGCAAGGAAACCCACGGACAGCTTGCATCATCATCCGCATAGACGGCCTCTGAGCACTGGAAGTCCTCGAAAGGAGGCGGAAGTCCTCGAGACTCGGAATGGGCACCGAAGCCCAAGACGGATTTCTAAGCCCAAGACGGATTTCTCGGTCGTATTTCAACGTGCTTCACGCTAGAGAAGGTTCGCTCTCAAAAATACAATAAACAAACCCAGCGCGCAAATTCAAGGCTTCCCGATCCACCTAACACGTCGACCGCATGCGACGACGCGTCCCCGGACCGGAAAGAGCCCCGCGCATGCGCAATGCCTCCCCCCCCCGCGGACGGACGACCTCCCGCGCATGCGCAATGCCCCCCACCGTGCGGGGGAGGCCACGCACGTGCTCGCCCGTCAGGCCATCCTCCGCACGCCTCGGTACTGGAAGCACTTTCCCTCTGTTTCCGGGTAAGCCTCCGTCAGTCGAGGCGGATATGCCGAGGAAGGAAAACCTCGCATAGGCATATTCCACGAACCGCCGCTTCCTTTTATTTTTAAACCGGGCGGCAACGGAAATTCGGAAATAACTAGCCGGGCGATCCGCCCAGTCGCGAAGGCCCTTGCCAGAATCCTCATATATCCCGCACATTTCACGCACGTGTTCCGTCTAAAATAAATCACAATCCAACATTGCCAGCAAATTTTTAAGAAACGACCTCTCCCTCCCTCACAAATAAAAAAAAAACTTATTGGAAATAGGGCCCATTATTTACATTCTCCCGCACACTCATGCGCATATTCCATAATCCATCGCGGAATATCCAATCCGTCTCGCCGACGGCTCAGATGCCATCTATCTCGAACTGGAACACGGCGGCCATGTGGCCGTGTGCGTCAGGGGTGACTCACGTGGCCGTCGTGAGTCACTGTAGCCTCCCGATGCAGCCAGCTTTTCTAAAAAGCTGGCTGCATCGCATTTTTATTTAATTTTTTTGTGTCGCTTGCCCTGCACAAATGGCCTTCTGATGGTGACCGGGATGAGACACAAAAACCTGCCAACATTTTGTTCACCTTTTCACGAGCGAAACTTTCTCCTCCTCCTCCTCCCGTCTCGAGTCATCGTGAGAATCCGGTTAAAAAAAAAAAAAGGAGACGTCACTCACCCAGACATTGAATTTGACGTTTTTGTAGGTAACTGTTTCGACGTTGAATCCCACCGTCGGAATCGTCGTCACCGCCTGGCCCAGCTTCAACTTATACAAAATGGCTGAAAATCCAGTCAAGGCAACCACAACATTTTTTTTTTCCATCAACACATGCAAAGAAAAAACGGATCTGCCATCTCTTAAAGCACTCCCCCCGGAACTCCCGACGGCCCGTCAAAAAGGCATTTCTCCATCTCGGATGAGAAGAACCCACACGCTCTCCTGCCCCGCTCCAATTCGCCGGGGAACAATGGATTCAGGCTTGTATCGTCCCACGCCTCAGACCATAATAACCACAGATATTGATGGATCTCCACGACAATATCAAGGCCTTCATAATTATTTCCTATAATTCTATTGAAAAATAATCTACACTTCAATTCCCCCCCCCCCCCCCCCCCCCCCCCCCCCCCCAACTGCTTCGTGGCAGGTGGGCCTCGAAAGAACGCGACAAAAGGAGAAAGGGAGTCTCCATTCACCCCCGCATCCGGTAGAGCGGATGCCACCACACACCCGGGACGGCGTGGGACTCCCGTCGAACAGATCCCGGCACGCTCCCTCGACAGACCGAGGTTAATGTCGGGATGTGCGAGACTCGTTCCGTCGGAACGGAAGGAGTGAGGGGTAGCCTGCGGGGTGGCCGTGAGACGCATTCACGCGCCGTATCCGATTCCGGGCGCAAAACGGCACGTGCGATCGACGAGAGAGGATGGGATTTCGTGCGACTTTCGAGGGAGGAACTCACGGGCGACAACGATGGCGATCGGGGTCGTAGAAATCTCGAGGAGTGAATGCAGCTGGAGCGGGATAGCCTCGGATCGGATGGAATGCTGCCTCGAACGACAAAGGAAACTCCCCTTTGTCACGTGATTTTCACCCCATATCTGTCCATATTCTACAACATTTCTATTTGACTTCGATTACACCTGCATCTCTGGCCCTCGTATCTGGAAGAAAAACCGTCATCGGGCCCGAGGCGATCAGACTTTGCCCGACCACAATATGGACTAGCTTATTAATTCGATGAGCCTTTTAGAGGATTTACAGCACTTTTTAAAGTTTAAAACTGTTTCCATGCATCACTACAACTACCTCGGCCTACCAACCCAAACCATAGTCCCACTTGGAGATATAAAGGAATTTAGAGCTACTGTAATGGTCTTAATAAATGAATCAATAGCACTGCAAACAGACGAAGAGCACGAGTTATCAGTCGGAAAGTTAAACCAATCGTTTTGTATGAGGATACGCAAAACTTTTCAGATGCACTGTAATTGTATTCATCTAATAAAACCAGAAACAAGCCCAAACCTAGCTGTCTTTACAAGGTTTCAAAGTAACTTTCATCCACATCACAGGTTTTCATCCGTAAGACATGCAACAACTTCCAACTTTTGGATTTTTTACAGTCTGGGTTGTCAGGTTCTACCCAGAAAAAAAACCATGGATCATAATTAATTTAAGCACTTGACACATTTTCCCCAATCTTTCAGCCTCTTAAATGCATGAACGCAAAAAAATATAACCTCACAATTTTTCATCTCTCAAGTTTTAATTAAAAATAACATCACAACGCCAATACAGAATACAACTTACAAGTCAAAATCCATTTCAGTAAGGAGTAGATCCAAGGTGTAAATGCTTAACATTACTTCAAAAAGAAGCAAAAGCATGCAGGCAAATCTAACGTACAAGAAAATTCAATAAATTGCTCTTGAATGAAGGCACAGATAAAGTCATGTATTGACATTTACAGTTTTCAATCTACATGCACTGAGTGAATTATGTTCCATTAATGTATACTAAATGCTACAAAGACATTGCTTGATGATTTCATTGCTCAAGTAAAACACCAGCTCATTAAAATACTCTGGATTTAATACTTTTACTGTAACTTTTATTCCTGCACTGCATTGCAGAAGAATGAATAAGACTGGTTAGATCCTCTTGGGTGAAAATGAAAAAAATCTGAGACCAAGCCCAAATATGAAATTCTGAGAACATTAGAAATCAGTCTAGGTCCTATAACATAGGCGAGAATGGGGAAATATGCGTTTCGTGCAAGCCAAAAATTGTTCTTTTTATAGGTTTGAATGTCAAAACTCAATTGAATAAGAACAATCCGGCTACACCTCGCCAACCACACACATAGGCCTAGGCTCTAGAAAAAAAAAGGGACTGCAGACTAACTTCGGCTGATATCGAACGCAATACAGTTTTATGACCTATCTGCATATGTACCTTCTATAGGTCCCGGGATAACCCTGACATTAAGCGTACATTTGCCAAAATATAGGCCCATAAAGGCTTGACCCAGCGAATTACAGATAGGCCTATAGCGCACGCCACGGCCAACGTACAGCACATGTCGAGCGGATCACGCCCACCAACTTTCCCAATACGTCGGTAAATGTTAGCCTTTCAACCGGAATAACTAAACTTGGAACAGGAGGGTACTCATGACGAAAGCCGTTCGAATCACACTTCCGCATTCTCATTTTTCAGGCCGTAAAACCAGTGCATGAAACTGGCTGGAGTATGCGCGGCATATTCGACGTTAACAACCACATTTCGAATGAATGAGCACGCTAGCTCCTCCCCGCTTCGTCAAAATTTACAAGTCAGTTTGGAATTCTCGATATCTGTTCCAACTTATAAGCGAGCACCTGGAGTTTTGTATATTCATGAGCGCAGAGAAACGGCGATCTGAGAGCGTAACTCGGACGCGAAACCAAGGGAGTTATTACTCACGCTAGGCAGAATCTAATGTTCTCCCTGGTGACGTCACTCACATACAGCTGATACATGAGGAGAGAGAATGTAGGCTATGGTAGGGCGTTACGTTAGGGTGCGCCATATCAGTTCTGAAATTGTCAAGAACCTGTGACTTTCACAGTGGAGTCCTAAGGTCAAAAGGAAGTGCAGAAGATAATCGAAGTAGCTGTTGCGGAATGCGATGTCAACCTTAATTTCCATTGACTTGCTGCTTTGAAACCCAAGTGATTGATTTTGCGCTAGGGATTCCCTTCAAAGTGAGGAAGAATGACGATCCTTCCCAAGAAGAAAACTGGACAAAGCAAGTCTACAGAGGAAGCAGCGCCTGATCCCAATCAGCAGATCCAGCATGGACACAGTCACACTCACAGTCACCATGGAGTTCACTCCTCCCTGCCTTCCCAAGTATGGCCCTGATGTTGCAACTATTAGGTTTTTACCTAAGTATAGGCCTTTTTGCCTGACAGTCACTCCACATATGGTTCACTGACCACAGTAATGCTAACAACTGCCCACACCTAGAATCACTTTGCTTGTAGGCAGTCACTCAATAGTAGGCAATAACATGAATATCAAATTAGCTTGATGGTAGATATGAAATTAGCCTATGTGTTGTGGCCTGGCCTTTATTTGATAGGTCAAGCATTGTATGTCTGGTGCACACCTAATGCCCCATTTTCCTTCTCTCTCATATCTTCTACAGATTTTCAGTATTCATGTCGCACCCGTTAATCCCGTTTTATACATGTTCCCAGTGGAACCATATGTGTCCATGCAAGTCCCATTTCCTTTTCAATGGAGAGACCAAAAAACATCTGGGCAGGAACTGTGAGATTATGACTCTATCCTGGTATCAGTAGAAAGCCCATGAAACCTGTATAAACCTGAGAACAGAAGTAAATACTTAGCAGAGTAGAAGCAAAATAGTTATATGATGCAATGCTATTTCATGGAGCAACTCCACATATGGACAGTTAGCTTGTTACACTCTGTGACATGCAATGGAACAGCCTCGTAGAATATTAATATTCCTAAGCCTATTTAGTTCTGCCAAGTGTTGGCATCCCTGGAACCAACTGGCTCGATAGATCGCCATCCCTCCGTAGCTAGGCTAGGTACATGTTATTACAAATACCCTGTGGATCTAACCCAGACTTTGGCCTGGCCTGAACCATTTTTATAACCTCATGAATCAACCAAGTTCCTTCACTATGTGATCAAAAGAATTGGAGAGATGGACCTAGGTTGACCTTTTATGGGAAATCATGGATCACTGGTAGACCTTTAGGTCTATAAGTTATGCATAATTTCTTTGAATAGGTTACCTCCATCACTCTATGGCTATAGATTCAGAGAATATAAGAGAAGACTGCAAGAAAAAAGGCATTGCTGGTAGTGAAATGCAAGCCCCAATTTGCCAATTCCAGTTACTTTCAATTGTGGAATGCACTTTGCTCTCTTTGCACTTCTCCTGCAGCTGCCACACTTTCCCAAGAGATAGCAAGCAAGAAATTCCACTTGAATGGATTCCTTTTCACCATTTGATTCAATGCAACCATCATTGAAGCTACAGGGTGATTCTTTCGTTTTAGTACCCTGCCTGAGTTATTCATGTTTTTTAGGGTACTAACACGAAAGAATCACCCTGTATAATGGTGTATAAAGATGGGGTTACACATGCTATGTGCTCTCATTAAAGGCGCTTGTGAGAGAATGCCACTGTGTTTTTCTACACACTTAGAATAATTAAGAAAATCTTAATTTCTTGGAAGCTCTCTCACTAATCTTTGCCATGCATGGAAAACCTATGGGAAACCATGTGTAAACCTGCCATAAGATGGCTCCATATAAAAAAGATTTTATCTCCTTTATTTCTATTACTTCCAATGAGTCGTGATCATAGAATAGGAGATGATAACTATGATGTAGTGTCCTTTTATTAATTTATTTTTATTCCTCTTTGCCTTTTCAGCAATTGGGCGAGAATCTCAGCCGTGATCGTCTTTATGTCTCCGGGCAAAGTGCACCTTCCTGTTGGCCAGCAGGAGTTTCACGAGATGAGAAGCGTCCTGTTCACTCTTCTCCTTCGCATTATGAGGAATATGACAGCTTGGATGGACCCACACACACCAAGAGACGGCTTCGAGCAAGTCCTCATCGGTATGGGACATATGCTCTACTGCTTGCCTAAAGTGGGCTAATCTTTGAAAGAAACAAAAAATAAAAATAAAAACACTAGAAGTTAATGATGTACTGGTATTCTTGTTAAGTTGGTCTTATGGCTTTTTTAATATTATAATTAATAATCTTATTTATGGTTTCAAATTGTGGAATTGTGAGGATATTTGATTTCAACTAAGTGATAGGTATGGTGTAGATGGTCTGTAATGTGAATGCTCCAATATGTGTAGCAGCCTCCGAAGCAAACATCGAGAGCGGAGTCAGCAAGCAGGACAGTCACCATCATATCCAAGTACCAGTAGCATGAATGTTGCAGGAGAGACTGGAAGCTCTTCACCCATTGCTGGACCTTCTGGAGCCAGTGGTTCTCAAGATGTTGCATCTGGTTCTGGCTATAATAGTGGAGATGAGCACAATGAGAGGAGTGATGTTCAGCTCACCGAGGAGGAGTGGGCAGAGGTCTGAGAAGCATTCCATCTTGAAAATAATATTCATAGTCTGCTTAATTTATTATCTTTTCAAAATAGAGACCTTAATTAATCATGAATCCTTGAAAAAATAACCACAGTATATGTTAATACCACTGGCATTGCTGATGGCCAGTGGTGTAGCCAGGGTTTCACCAATGCGGGGCGGAACGGTGGGGGGCTTACTTCTCCTTGCACTGTGGGGGGAGGGAGGGGGTGGTGGATGCATTTAGACCAGAGTTGGGGGGGGCAGAAGTTGAGTTGGGCAGAGTTGAGGGGGGCAGTTGGGGGGGCCCCACTACGCCACTGCTGATGGCAGGTCTCATGGCAATAGTAGACCATCTATTTCCCCATAAGAAGCCCAACTTGTTTCAATAGTATAGCTCAATATGAAGTTGGTAGGATCAAGAGAAGTGGGGAACTGTTTGAATTGGAGAACTGGGAACGTGATACACATTGTAGAGCTTCAAGTTAGCATCATATTAAACTCATGAATCAGAGAACTTTTTGCCATACTTGGTCCATAAAATTAGGGCTGGTTAGGGTTTCAAAAAGTGCTAAAAAGGTAATATATGGAAATGGGAGAAATAATGCCATTGCAAGCTTTGGTAAGTGTGCCTGCTGGCCAAGCTAGGCTAGTAAGTACAGTGACTGATTAAGTACAGTGATTGCGACAGTGACTAACTTCTTGTCATGTGATAGGAAGTTAGTCACTGTTGCAATCCCCTATCTCTCCCTTGTCTTTTCTGAAATCAGACAGGGAGAAAAAGCCATAAATGTAACTATTATCAGTGTTTGTCTCATATCAAGGAGGGAATATTGCTCTCTCTTGATGGCATTAAGGGAAGCAGATAATCCATGCAATTTTAGGATCATTGTAATAGGCTATGATCAACTGCCTGTATCATATTGCCACAAGTTTCACCACCCTATTCCTTGATGGATTCCAATTCCAAGGCCATGAAAAGATGCAAAATATCAAGATTACTGCATTTTCAGTGCTTTTTATGGTATGAGAAAAAAATTAGGGGTCACTTTGTCAGGTACTAATTATGAATTCTCCTCTACTCTATTATTGTTAGTATAACAAAAAAAGTAACACATTTGGAAGTGTCTGCAAAGATTTAATGCCTGTTCCCACCTTTATAACTTGATGTGATAACCTTTTTGAAACACTAGATAGTTAATTTTAATAAGTTAGGTTAACGGAAAGTTTGGAGCTAAACTCAAATCCCATTTGTTGAGATTCTTTCTACATGCAAGACTGCAGATGACAAAGACAATGCTGGAACTAATGGTAGCACAGGAAGATAGAAAGCAAACTCCAAATACACTGGAAGATAAGGTAGAGGCAGTCATATGCTAGAGGAGGGTGGGGATGTTCCAAATAGAAAATATAATTCACCCCAATCGCTTCCCAATGTCTCCCTAAAGGAATCAGATCTGACTCTTTATAGTTATATATATATGTGATGATAGTTTGTTAAAGATTTGAATAATTACAGTAGTGCAATTACATACTTAGATTCTGCCTAACACTGGAATCAGAGTATATCCTAAGCTCAATTAATAGATCAAGGCATTCTCTGTTAGAGACTTCTTGTAATCCCTTGTCTTTCCCATTTTCTTTCTTTCACTTTCAGACATTCTATTTAAAAGAAAATAGAAAATTTTCCATAAACTATTTTTTAACCTTATTCATACAAATGTTAGATATATATAATGCTGCAAGTAACCTCCATTGAAGGAATGTTAGATGTGCAAGGTGTTCCATAAGTCTGTTTACTGAGGGGTTTTCAGCTATGCTAAATTCTTCATAACTTCATTATTAATTTTATGTTTGGAAGAAATTTGTAAGCATGTGTCTTCCTTTGCCTAGAATGAAAATAAAACTTTTAACAATAATGGCAATTAACAAAATTAACACAAAATTAATAACCTATTGAGGATAATTAAATTAATTAAAGTTAGAGTAGCTGAAAATCCATTGGTAAACTGATTTATGGAACACTCTGTATTTGATGCTATACACATGTCACATCAACGAAACCCTTATGGGCCTTGACTAGGCCTCTAACACAAACAAATGATGCAATCATCATGTGATGAGGTTGGTACATGTTCCTATACAGTCATTTCATTCATGCCAGGCTCTGCGTTGTTGTAAATATTTGTTTTATGCTATGGAGTTACTCCAAGCTCTGCCATGCTCTGAGTATCAGCAATACTTTGTAAGTATTTTACTTGGGAAAAGGGTGAACCTTTGTAAATATGTACAGCAACTTTTACTTTTTCACATGGTTTTTGTTTTATTGCCATAGAACAATTAATAATGAAGATATAATAATTTTTTGTAATATACAATGCCTTGAGGTTTAAAAGGGCAGAATTAAATTCCAGCTGCAAGGGGACCAAAATATTTAAAAACCCCATACAATGAAGTTTAAGAAAAATCTCTTGAACTCATATTTTTGGCCAAATGGCAGACATCAGTAGTTGTCTGAGCACTGAGCAACATTCCTTTTGGGTATTAACAAATATGTTGGCCTTCTGTGCTGATAATGAAATTGGTAATTGTGTCTTGGATTGCAGAAGGAGCGTCGGTTTGAAAAGCGGCTGAGGAAGAAAGGTTTTGTAATCAAGTCCATGAGGGAAGACGGTGCCTGCCTTTTCAGAGCTGTAGCTGACCAAGTCTATGGGGATCAAGAAATGCACTCAGTTGTACGACGACATTGCATGGACTACATGGTTTGTCCTTTTTTCATTAGAAGTTCCTGGAAAAGAAAAAGGTGCTGTGAAAATTCTAAAATCCTGGTTATTTCTTCTCATTTGATGGAACTTTTGTTCATGCAGGCAAAGAATGCTGACTACTTTGCTCAGTATGTGACTGAAGACTTTGATGCTTATGTGAACCGTAAGCGCCAGGAGTTCTCACACGGGAATCACGTGGAGATTCAGGCTCTCAGTGAAATGTATAATCGCACTGTGGAAGTGTACTGCTATAGCACAGGTACATTCCCCATCCAATAAGATTGTTCAAGGTGAAGTCCATGAGGCACTAATGTGGTTCATTCTCACAGATCCTATCAACACCTTCTCGAGCGGGATGCAAAGAACCGACTATGAACCGGTCCGTCTCTCTTATCACAAGGGGACCCATTACAACAGCATTGTTGATCCCTACAAAGCCACGATCGGGGTTGGCCTCGGTTTGCCCGGCCTCGTTCCTGGGTTGGCCGAGAAGAACCTCATGTCTGATGCCTGCAGCCAATCTGAAGCCTTTCACCTTGAACAGGTAGGCCCTGTGACATCCATTGAATTTCTTCTTAGCTGTTTTACTATGAAATGTCTTGGGTGAATCATAAAAGGAGAATTTTGATGCTGTGAAGGCCATGTTGGAAGACAAGCTAAAGGCCACAGACTGGGAAGCAACCAATGAAGCAATCGAAGAGCAAGTTGCTCGAGAAAGCTACCTTCAGTGGCTTCGGGAGAACGAGAAACGTGCTCGGAAGCAGGTAGGTTTTGTCTCCCCAAAGGAAGACCACTCTGTATAATGAAAAGATTTGATCACGTGTATTGCCATCGTTGTGATAGGCCAGGAGTTCAACAGTGACTAGTAGCAGCACGGCTGGACAGAGTCGTTCCCCGCGTCACAGTTCCAGCCATCCTTCCTCAGGGAACTCGTCCCCTTCTCCCGACCGGGATGTGGCACCAGATGCGGTGCCGGACTCTTCACCCAAGGAACTGGCAAGTGAAGAGGAGGCTCAGCAATCGAATACTACAGAAGAGGCAGGGAATGCTGCCAAGACTGCCAGCGTTCGATCAAGCCCATCCAGGGAAGAAGCAAGGGAAGAACCAACATTTCAAGTCTATGAGACTGCATCCTTTCTCAACCAGCTCCCACCTGATGTCTTTGGTGAGCAGGGAGGAGGCTGCAACTTTGATATTCACTATCTGTGTCATGTTTATGAAGGGGACTAATATCCATATGGGCCTAATCTTTTTCCTCTCTTCAATGAAGAGTTGTAATATTTATAATTGCCTTGTACCTTATACATTTGTATGCTGTACTTTTTTCAGTCCTCTGTATTATTATTTTTTCTTTTAGGAAAAAGGCACTGAATGCCAAGTGAGGTATCACATGACTTCATTTCAATTCAAATTTTCCATTTGACTATGATGTAAAATCTATACAGGCATGCATCTTAATTTTCTGCATAATTCAAACAGTGATGTCAACTACGTAGTTCATTCAAGTAAAAGAATGCCCCCCCCCCACATCCAAGTAGCTGTAGAATAGATAGAAAAAAATGGTGCTGTGATGTAAACTTCATATGTCCATGTTGCACATGTATGATGGCATTACAGAGCCCTCCTGGTTATTTATGAACTTAATTATCCAGTGGGTAAACCATCTTTAGGAAGAAGGTCAAATACTTCATGTAAGGCCATGTCAGCCATCACTGATATTATAGATGTTGATGAGATGTTGCCTTAACTGTGGTGCTAATGACATCCTTATGCAATGTGACTTGAAAACACATTGCCAGTCAGGTGTGACAATTAGTCATGCAGGTACACACTTTGAATTTACCATATCAATTATCTCCTCATTGCAAAAGTTTCTGGCTCAAATTATTTTTTGGATTCAGAACCTGCCTTTAAAAGCCCTCTAATTTGCAATGATATGAATATGTAGTATTTGTCATACTTGGGAAGCAGCCTTCTGACAAATTTATAGCAGTTGTCAACATGGGTGATGAGGTACGTATGCATGCCGTTTGAACCATGATCTAAAGCCTGTTATTATTTTCCTCCTTCCATTCTGGGCTCAATGGTGTATAAATACTACTTTATTGCACTGAATCAAAGGCAGGGTATAAAAAACTGTCATTGCTGATGCACTCAACATTGGCTACTATGAGGATCACCCATGATTCTTTGCAGCTTTGCAATTTGATACATGGCAGCCAATGAGTTAATGGTTACTGGGTAGTTGCCATTGTGTTTCCATGAAATGAAGGTTGAAATTCCCCTTTGTTAAAGAGAAAGAAAATGGTACCAGTTCAAAATCATTTTCACTTTCCTTTGATTTTGGGTATGCATGCCCAACTTGACGTTAGTTATGGTTTCATTTCTAGTTAGGTTTTTTATTCACCTTGTTTTGGGCACCCTGAAGAGGGTCCATGTGAGAATTGGTAGGCAAACGTTGTTGACACCTTGATGTTGATTGTATCCCATTTGCTTCCTTGGTGTTGCACAAGCAGGTGCACATTTTCATTATAATTTTCCCCTCTTTTTTAGAAAGTTAATTTTTCATCTGTGTGAAAGTATTAATTCAAGTCAAATGGTGAACTTGCAAGAGGTCATGCATGGTTTCAACTGCTGGCACAAGTTCTGGACTTGAGTTCTGTGTTCTTTGGGATGTGCAGATGCAGCACACATCTGTTTTTCCTGTTACTCAATTAAAGTCTTTAATGATTAATTTATCCAATTTCAAGTCTACTTTCTGTCTTTTGTTATGGGAAATGAACCCCCTCCCTGAGTGTGAAGCATAATCTGTCAAGCTCATTATTTCTTAATGCCACATAGGAGTTGCATTTAGAAAGAAACAAGCTAGGCATTGCATATCTCTGTGTGTCCCTGATTATTCGTACTGTTAAAAAAAGCTATAAAAAGCTTTTCTTTTTTCACTAAGATGAAAAGGTTTGTCCATGTTTGGTGAGGATTATTTAGCACAAGAGGTGTAACCAGTATGTTCTTTTCTTTTCCTCAGGGCTGAGTGATTGGGAGGATGCTGACATCCTGGCTCAAGTCCTGGCAGCATCTCAGCAGGAATACCTGGACACTTTGAAAAAGTCCTGCAGTCCTGCCTCTCCTACCCCCGGGAACTCGAGCAGTGCCAGCTAACACGTATCCCAGTCTGCCTCCCTCTATTCCTCTGCATTGTACCCCCCATCACATTGTTATGCACAACCAGTGACCCTTTTCCTTCTGTCTCTTTGAAGAAAAAAAAATCAAGACTATTTGCTAAATCCTGTTGAATTTCTGCACATCCATATGGCACAGTGGCAGTTCCTTCTTAATTTTCTTCTGTGAAGATGCTTCTCTTCAATTAGGTGCTAAGAATGCAAAACCTTAGAGATGAGTAAAGTCATTTTCCTTTAGAATGATTTTGCCGATGTGCTGCATCACTGTGTGTATCCCTATTATCCCCGACTTGGGAGCTGTGGACAGTATGAAAGTGTTTATCTTCTGTCTTCCTCATCTCCTTTTCTGCTGTGTGAATGCAAGAGTGATGATCATATTTACGACATTTGATGAAGTCTTCTATTGGCCACATAAAAGAGTGTTGTTATTTTCCTCCCCCTTCCTTCAGCTTGGATAAAAAATACAACCATTGATATGTATGAGCAGCGGTCACCTGCCTCGAGAATATCTCAGACAGTTTTTATTTACAATTCTCTTAAATAACTTACCAAAGCATTGAAAATTTGACATCAACCACAATGTGTGAGGGTACAGGACAGCATAGGGCCTGCTTCTGCTCATGAGAAAAAAAAGGAAGGAAAAAAAGCCAAAAGAGTCAAGCATTCTATATATGGGATGAAGAAGTATTTTGTAGTGCTGCAATCAGTGGTGTTTAATGAACATATAGCCTGATTGAAGCCAGGCAATAGTGAATGGGTCTTGATGTGCTAAAAAGTAGAAGAAACAGCCTCTCTTGTCCTCCCCCTAGGCTAAACTGCCTGTATGATGATCCCATCAAGGATGAACTTCGTTTGCAGAAGGAAATATGGATAACACCATTACATATTGTCAACAAATCCCAACAGACATGATTCATCTTTCACCCTGAACGACATGGTATCCAAATTCCCATTTTGTTCAGATCTCTGAATGAAATCATTGAGTACGAAAGTCTCTTAGACCTATATTCTGACTTCTAAAAGGAAGATCCATCTCTAAAAAAAACATTGTTGACAGGAAAGTACATCACAGTGAAACTGATGGCATTTAGCTCTTCAGACATACCATTTTTCAGTTCATGGAAGGTGTCATCTATAGCAAAGCAGCTTTGAAGGGACTATTAATGATTGTTGTGAGAATCAATTCTTGCAAAAAGTGAGGTGGGGATTGGTATAAATTTCCATGGTGAAGTGTTTGAATTTCTCTTTTAAAAGAAAAAAAAAGGGGGGGGGGGGGAAAGAAAGGAGGACACATTTTAGGATGCATTTTGCTCATGAGCCTGGATCTCTTGCGGTTTCATGACGTCGGGGAGCTCTGGAGGTTGGGAAAGGGGAGCAATGTCAAGAGACTCAAAATCCCCATTCTCCTGCCTGTAACATAGACCCACTGTAGCTGGGCTCTGGGCCTTGGCTGTAGATGAAGTGAGCCCATAATCACTAAGTGTCTTTGCATCGTCCATCACGACTGAGTCCTTGAGGAGTCGCAGATTCTCTGGAGGCACCTTGGTGATCCCCTCGACAATCTTCTTCAGCTCGAACACGGTCGTCGTCTCCTTGGCATCCGTGAAAATGGTCGTCTTCTTCCGACGCACCATCAGAAACACATCCATGCTTCGGATTCCCCTCGGACAGACAATGAGGGTTATCTATATGTTCACCTGTGAGATGAAAATCCTGTTTCTTTCATGCCACAACAACCCTCAGGCCAAAGCCTGACTTAATATTTTTGTAGATATTAGAAGTAGATATTATAACCCTAATTCTGTTTCTATAATACACTTTCTTATTTTTCTTATTTTTTTAGCTTTTCAGGCAGGTATGGATGGTCTCATCTTTTCATTTATTTATTATCACTGCTATGATCATAACAAAAGTCTGTGAAATGATACACAATTAACCATTACCATTAATTGAATGGGATGAACAATAGGGGGTAAAAGATATAAATATACCAGCTTGAGCAAGGATTGAATGGCTGATAAATTTAAGTTAGTTTTGGTTGATTTGCAATGATAGCAGCTGATCCAAGTCAGGCTTTCACAAATGTCTATCAAGCCAGTTTTTGTCCTACCATTAATTTGATTGGATCCTTCCTCTAGAATGGATCAGCATTCAAGAGGGGAGTATCCAAATTTGCCTGGATATCTGAAGTGGGTGGTTACTGAGTTGTGCATTGTAAAAACCTGGAATTTCATGAGACCATCATGTAGGAAAACCAAGAATTTCATTACATAAGAATGTAAGCATATTTCCATATTTTGAATTAGCCAAGGCATAAAGGAGCTGCAAGCTATGCAAGGAGCTGCAAGCTATCCTTGAAACATACCATCTTTGGGTTCTCTTATGATTCATTTATGAGTAGGTGGAAAATCCCCAGAACCCACAATTATGCTGTTGGGGTCTTATTTTGAGAAAAGCATTTTCTCTCAATATGAATCTCTCAGTTTGGGTTGATTTGAAGGGTGCTGTCAATCTGGCTGCAGCTAAATCTTATATATTTCAAATTCATCCCCACTGTGGCCATATGTTCAAACACTTCAACAAGCTTCACATGACATTTAAAAAAAATTAATAAAATTTTCATAAAATTGAAAGTTGTTCTGATGCCTCCAGGAAGTAAGGAAGTTTAATCATGCCTCCACTTTATACATTTCAAAAATAAAGGGTAAGGAGAGGTATAGAATACAAGATCTAAGACCAACTATTCTATGGGATGTAGGATTCTAGAATGAGAATGGGACGAGTCTGAACTGTGTATTACACCATATTCCACAGTCACCAAGACTGATCACCAGTGATGATGAATTCATTCAGATTGTCTATGGATGTGGAAAGGGCATGATAAGAGGAAGTCATGGAATTTTTGCCATGTTTTTCCTCTTTCCCAAGAAGCTGTAGTCAGGCAAGGATCACACTCCAATAAATTGATAAGGCTATGCCAGATATGATAAGGGCATGCAAAAAAAATTACAATTCTTGGAAACTATTCATTTACTGGGAAATTTTCCAAGGAAAGGAATCAGTGTGTTACTGCCACAACGACATAATGATGGATATTGAATGCAGGTCTGGCCAAAGTTGAAACCTTGGAAATAACTGTTTCAACCTGTAAGACTATCTAAATATTCAAAAGAATGCAGCTGCAACCTGCATGCCCTGCTTTCTCACAAGCAATCTTCTTAATTGAGAAGAGTTTCACTAGGTCTACTTAGACTATGTACTTTCACATCTCCAAGCATAGAAAATTATTACACATGAAACACTGTAGCCTTTGGAAGCAAAAACAGCACAGGTCTGTTGATTTAGAGGCTTTACTTTACAATACCTTACCATGCTCCAAGGGCATGATTGATTCAATACCAATATTCTGATCTAATTTTGTTCAACAGTGGATATGTGCCATTCTCCAATGGCAAGATGTGAAGCAATCTGGTTAAGCTTTTCTTCTTCAGAATAAAGCCAAAAGAAGCAAATCCTGCTCTGACTCTCTGTCCTCAGTAAGCACATGCTGGACTCAAGAGGACACTCAAGGTCCTGAGTTTGGTTGGGATATAATCACTTCTTTTAGGCTTAGTTTAAGATTAAGAATATGATTAAGAAAGGATGCTTCCAGAGGGCATGTCAAAACGTAGTTACTACTGATTATGAAGGGATGCTGGGACCTGGAGCTGTATTCTATTAAAATCTTAAACTTAGTTAAAGCAAATCGCTCAACCTCGGCCATGCATTTGAATGGGGCAAATACCAGCTAAGCAACTTGCTTAGAGGAAAATCGCACTTAAGAACACAATAGAATACGGCCCTGGTCTATTGACCTATTCACATGTGAGAGGTAGGCCTAGTCATACAATTTGTGCCTAAATGTCTCTTACATGGTAATCCTAGCAGTTATCATTATGTAAGAGGCTTTGAGGATGGGTATAAATCTATGGATGAAAGCAAAAGCCAATTGAGCCCAAGCAGATGAAAATCCCTAGGTGAAGTGCAGGCAGAAGCCTATGTCTCTTATGCAAGTTACAAATGTTGATGCAAGGTAGAAGCTTGCAACTTTACTTTACCTTGGCTTCAGCAATGCTCGATTGAAGTTTTGTGGGTTCTCTGGATTTTAGTATGATTGGAATCATCAGCATGTTTGTTTAAGGTGTTAAAAATAAGGTCTGATTCAATTTCTCAAAATAAAATGATGCTTCACTATTTTTTCAACAGAATCCCAAGTTCAGAACAGTAGCAGGCTTCAGGAAAGAAACTATATGAGGTAAATTGACACTCACAATGATTCACAGGTTCAAGGCTGCTCAAGAGGGCAGAATTTGATTAGAGCAGTTGCCTATTGGTGAAACATGGTACAAACTTTGCACTTTTTCCCATATAAACAAGAAAATTTAGGGTTACCTAACTGCTTAGCTTTTAGTAAAGGGGTCACAATGAATAAGCTAACAGCCTGATGAGTGAAAGGTGACATGGGCCTTCCTGAAAGAAGTGCAATTGTGAGAAGCTCCCAGTTTAGGACACTTGTTCAATTAAACCCACTGTATAAGCATGTGATTCTGACTGGGTTCCAAGTCTGACCAATGAAAAAGGCATCTCGCACTGAATGTGTTCATGTGTTCCACAACTCCACCCAGGCTCTGACAGGACTCCTACTTAAGGCTCCCCTTCTGTCTTGTGACAAGTACAGGAATTACCAAAGAACAATCTAAAGCCTAATATATTGAGAGCATATACCAAAGTGGGAGGAAGCACCAGCACCAAGCTTCTATAAACTTCAGAGGATTCATTCAAGATCCCAAGAAGATGCAACAAAGATGGCAAAAAAACATACAGAAAAGCCAACATGTCTACAAGATGACAGAAAAGAGAGTCCTGAACATACACCTCCAGGATATAGCCAACAGTGTGATCAAGGATGCCTTATCACATGCCTGCAAAAGGTCAGATAATGATAACTATTCTACTGCTTCCTGGGTTTCAAGTGCACCATCCCTATGAATTTCAGATAGTACATTATCAACTATCAAAATGAAGGTAACTGGTTGACCTTCAACCTATTGGCAACTAAGGCAATGAGAAATTAGGTTGGAAACTACAAGTTTGAGTTGCCCTCTAAAACCTCACTTTTGTTGCCCTCAGCCTGGAATCAGGCTAAGGGTCATCATCTTTTAATGGTTCAATTTTAGTGTTTTCCAGAGCCCTGGAGAATGTCACATACCTATTTCATGCCTTTATGGAATCAAAGTTTCATGAATCCTTTGAAAATGACATGAGTTGAGATGGATTTGTCTGATTTTCCCAATTCCTCGGTGCCTATGACCACCTCTTAGCTGGGGCAGGCGAGTGGCTCTGTTAGTAATAAGCTTGGCTCCCATGGCAGAGGACTAAGTTTGAATCCAAGCAAGTCAAAGCATTCATTTCAGAGCATATGCCCCAGCATGCTTGAGAAAGAAGACCCCTGAGTATGAAGCACTCCTGTCTCAGGATGTGGGAAATTAAAGCCCAGTGGCGAAGAACAAACCCAGGTAGCATATCCCCAAAGTGTATGGGCCAAATTAGGTCTCCCAAGATTACTTATGTTAGCTGATGTTACAGGGGAGAATAGGATTAGATGGTAGGGTGGGTTATCTGGTGTTCCAGTTAGGGCACAGTTATGAGGCAAGAGCATCTGGCACCTTTTCATACCATAAACTAGGTTGCCACCTTTGAAATTAGCAAAATATGGACATATGGTCTGTGGACATATGGAAAAATATATGAAGTATACATGCATTTGTGACTCTGCTGCAAATAACTATAGCCACCTTTAGCCAAAGTACCAATTGATGCTGTAAGAGTCTGGCATACTACTCTGTCTTGAGTAAAAGAGTGGTTTTAACTGCTATTGTGTTTTATTAATTAAAAAAACCTTAACAGATTTAAAGTGTGGATGAAGTAGTGCCCATATTAAGACAAGTTTGCAGTATGGGTATTGTATCTGAAATATGAATTGTCCATATTGACTATGAACGAGTGGCAACCCTATACTAGGCCTATAGAAGCCTCATCTACACATTGTGGATTCAAGCACTACCTTAGAAACACCTTATTTTGGGGTTTCAGAACAGGCATTTTGAGGGAAATGTTAGGCCAGGCTTCAGAACAACATTCTCAGAGGGACGGCGCAAGAAACTTGGCTAAGATTAACGTTAGGTATACCGTTAGGGCTGGAAAACATGTAGTTTAACGAATGATCCATTGTACATCCGGTCTATCATAGGCCTGCCAACGTTGTATATTCGTAAGTCCGTTACCTAGGCCTAGACACTCCGTTTGATAATGGTCCCGTAGGCTAGGATCAATGTAGGTCTACTTCATCAACAACGCAGTATTGAATGGTGCAGAATTAAGCCTCGGTCCCTCGCCTATGCCCTATCCAACCTTTGTAAGTTACCCCAGGAAATCAGGAACAAAGTTTTTTCAATGTTCCTTCGGGAAATGAATATTTCTGCTCAATGTGTAACTTAAAAGAGCTCCAGCCGTGTGTCCCGCTTTAGGACTCAAAGCGTTGCACCTCTACCTCCTCTTCGACTACTCAGCCGCGGATTTGCATCGAAGGTGAGCCTGTAGGCTGCCATTT